TTTTTCCAAACAGAATTAAGTTAGTTACAATATTTCCTTTCCTGTCATAAAACAGACAAAATGTCAAGCTGAACCTTTTCCATCCAAAGGTCACGTTGTGACACAATCTAGTTTTTCCGAGTCTGATCGACTGACGGCTACACGACGGACATCTGTGTTTCAGGTATTAATTAGCTTGATTTGCAGAGAGCAGCTTGTCTGATTAGCATCTGAGCTGGCAACTGATTTTCAAGTCAAAGTTCAAGGATCGGGCTAAAGAGCTTTTAAATTCCCATCAAATGTTCTGGCCTGATTATGACTGAGGACAAGTCCTTGTTCTGACAAGAGAGAAACATCAAAGCCACACAGTGTCCTTAAAAACAGAGAAAAACGCGGCTTGTTTTCATCTCCAGCATACAGCCTCTGTATCTAGACAGGTTGCTCTTAGCTAACAAAAACTATTGAAAATGTTTCATGTTTAAAAAATGTTCAAAAAAAAAAAAAGAAAATGTTTCATGTCGACCTAAATGGAAAACTTTGAGACTTTCTGATGAGAGTTTCCAAAAAAAAAATACAAATAAAAAAACCCTCAGCTTCTTTAAATCGTTTAAGTTTTATTTAACTCTCTTGCGGTAAATTGTCCTCAATTTATACAATCACTCCACCAAAACACCCAATTAGGGGTTTTATTTAAACCCTGAATGAATGACAGCTTATTTTACACATAATGTTTGGAAGCGGTGAAAAAAAACAATAAAAATCTTTGGTCGCGTTGTGTGTTGATTCTAAATATCGTCACCAGCTAAATGATCCTCCCCACAGTTTACTGATTGTTCAGGCTTCCAGCCGCGATGAATGCTGGACTGAAATATGTTGTAGTGGAAACTGAGGCCCAGCGGACGGAGGCAGCATGAAACACACAGCTATTCAGACTGACCTCTGACCCACAGGAGCGTGGCTTTGTGATGAACAGAAAAAAGTGTTTTTTTTGTTTTTTTTAAAGCAATTTGAAACAATCAATCTGTTTAATGAAAAAATATGAATAAATCTTCATTTCAAACCTTCAGCAGAGGCAGCCTCTCCCTGCTTGATGTCACACAACTAAAACTTTAGGAAACAGTTCAAAGCGCGCACAAAGTTAACCGGACTTTATGCACACAGTCTGGTTAGTAGGACGGAGAAAAAGGGCCAAGCAGAGAGAAAGTAAAAACATAAAATTATGACAATAAAGCTGAAATAGTACAAGAATAAACTATTTTGAGAATAGTCAAAGTATTAGCAATGTCATGTCATCTTAACGCGACTTTATCTTGCATGACTTTATTATCGTATTAGTACAACCTAAGAGAATGAAGTCATAATAATATGAGAATAATTACAACTTTATTCTCTTATTATTGCAACTTTAGTCTCATAATTTTATGATTTAATTTAAGTCATAAAATTTACTTGAATTAAATAAATTTTAATTGACTTAGTTCAATTCAATTAATTAAGTCAATTTTACTTGACTTATTTAAAGTGATTTATTCTCGTATTTTTTAAATGTATTTATAATTTTCTTAGCATGGTCCTGATGCTCTATGTCAGGCTCAGGATTCAGACCGGCAGACAGAACGTTACCTCATTCAGCTTGGTTTGATCACATGGGAAAGAGAACGTGAACCCCAGAGGTAAGGACGCTCCACTCATCCCCCTGTAGTCCAGGAAGTCAGCAATGCAGTACACAATGTAGTTGAAGAGCTGGGGCACAGATAAAAACAAAGGGAAATTAAAAATAATTACAAGAACATTCAGCCTCAGAAAGCATTAAGTAAAAAAAAAAAAAAAAAAAAAGCCAATAAAGAAATTTAATTTGCTGCGTAAGCAAAAATCACTGAGCTGAAAACTTACACCATGGGGGAATACTATTGCACACCTGCAGAGCTTTTCAAAAGCAGAAGAAGAAAGGCCGCCTTAGGCGAGAACCGCTGCTCTGCACATCACACACACTGATGGCGGGAAGCTGCATTGCAGCCCCAGCTGCCCTGGGGCAGACTGACAGAGGCGGTGCTAGCGTTAGCATTACACTTTACCACCAACACAGGACGAATATCCCTAAAGCTGAGCCACTGCTGGAATATGCAGCTTTTTAAGGTGAAACACCTCGACTGCAGTTCAAGAACGACGGCAATAATCTGACCTGATGTTGAGTATTTATGTCAGTCAGACCAAAATGATTAACCCACTTAATTTTCCTAAAATGGAAAATGTTAAAATATGACTAAATATTCATCTTTTTAAATAATTGAGCTTTTACAATTAGTTGATCCACGTTTAACCAGAAACTTTTACTGAAAAGACGACTTTACTGAGATTTACTTTGATTTATTAAACTATTAAACATCTTGACAGAAAGCAGCCCAGGTCCTGTTTTTAGAATAAATCTGCTCAATCGAGTCCAAAAGAAACTGAAAATGAGACTCCGACAGCAAATGTGCAAAATTATTTTAACATTTTGGATCTGTGATTAATAGAATCCATTTTGTAGAAAAATAAATAACTTTGATGACTATTTGCTTTATTTTAGTTTTCTTAGTTTGTCCCATGCAACAAAAAGTATGGACACCCCTGCCGTAGATATTAGCTTCTGCGCTGGTGCTGTTTGTATTTCCTTCGTTTGTATCAATGCATATTGGGGCATTTTTGGTGTTTGAAATACGAAAATAGGAAGTTAGTATTTTTGGAGCGGGCTTTCAATTTGTCATGGTTTTTAGATATTCTCCTCTGGTGTTTTGATTTATTCACATGAAAACCCACAAAAAACATAAAACATAAAAAGAGGATTTGTGTTATTGTAGTTTTTTTCAGTGTGAACTGAAACTTGAAAAACCAAAAACCTAAAATGATTTTCAGCTTTTTTATTCCCACACCACATAATACCTCCTCCCCCGTGCCCTGCAGCGTGTCCTGATCGATACTGTAGATCTTCTGGTGCATATCCACTTTCTGCTTCTTCTCATTTTTCAGCCGAACGAGAAGAACACGGAAACTGGACCCGCCAAGATCCAAAGCCAAGAAATCTCCTTGTTCTACAAAAAAATAAAATGGAGCAAAAACATAAAAATAAAAACAATTCACATCTAACAGGAGCAAGGTCATATCCGAGTAAGAGGCAGCGGACATCTTGTCTTCCCCCTCACCTGTTCCGTCCGGGGTGGACCTGACGTACGTCGGCAGCATCTTGACGCTGGTCTGGTCGTGCGTCTGCTTGGACAGACCCCGTGCCATCTCCTCCGTCAGCCTCCGCTTCACCTCCAGCAGCTGCTCGCGGCTCAGCCGCAGGGTGTCGAGGACGCGCTGCCGCTCGGCGTGCTGGGTGGCGAGTCGGTAGGCCACCGCCGTCACCATGGCCGCGCCTTTCCCGCTGCCGTGCTGCGACTGCAGGAAGCGCACGTCGCAGTCTGGCACGAGGCGCCGCACCATTTTGTTGAGCTTCCTGGAAAATCTGTTTTCCATAAGAAAAAATGATTTTAATAAACATTGTGCTGTTTCTCGGTGAACTTTCATGCTAGCTAACTTTCCATCAATGAACAAAACAGCACAGATGGCACAGAGGATAAAGCAAACTGTGCTGGTGACTCAAGACATTTAAAAACCCTCACAACTTGTACTAAACAGTTTCATCTCTAATTATTTTAAGCCAGAACGGAGCAAGTAAACTACCCAGAGAAAATCTAATTAAATAGAAAACCGGAATGAATGATTAAATAATACAAGTGTGTTGCGAGTATGAATAATCCATACTTATATTCACAACTGTGTACGTATAAATATGTGTCTACTTGCAGAGTGAAGAACACTTTTGTCCCGTCAGGCTCTCCGAAAAGAGATGGAGCAAGGTGAATTTTAATGAGAGGGGATCAGGGAGGATAATTAGGTCGTGTTCAGTCGACTGGCCCAAAGCCGGCAGTTTAAATTCACCAGAAAAGACGGCTGACATTCAGCCCAACTAAGTCTTTGGCTCCATCCTGAGTATCTAACAGAGGAAATGACGAAGCCCCTGCCAGGGACTGGAGTCCTGCTATGTTTTACTACATGATCACCAGGCTGGACAAATATCTTTGAGACATTGGGAAGAGTAGCAGGCAAATAAACAACTTTGTAAGCTCCAACTCCAAGTCAGTCAGGCAAACACTGATGACAAGGGAGAACTAATCCCCTCTGTGTGAACAAGCTCTAATTATGTAAAGAGAGCTTAAACAATAAACGCAGAGATTACGTGTTCTTGTTGGAACAATTCAATCCACTTTAGCTCAAATACACTCAGGGGGCGCGGAGGGGCACACCGAAACACTCCTCTGTTTATAATCTGGACTCCTCGTTAAAGGAGTGAGACACACAGACACACACATCAATGTTCTGGGTCACTCACTCTGGATGACCCTTGTAGACTGAGCCGTCCACTCCGATGGTGATGCGCAGCTTTTCGGCCGCTTTGTTGTCCCGGATCTGTCGCATCACCGCCGCCAGGGTAGAGGCGCACAGGTGTGCAGCCCGGGTTGAAACGACCTGGCAAATCCTCCGAGTGGCGACGCAGTCTTCAGCAGACGGGTCCAGGCCCAGGCTGCGGAGCGCCTTCTCGGCGCTAGCCAGGCCTTCTTCATCTCTGCAGGTGAAGAATGAGACGTCCAGTTTATTTCTGATCAGATTCCACAGGCAAGGACAGGAATTCAGGGAGATAAGAACTTCACTTGTAAGTAGGGCATGTTCATTTTGATTAATTTCTTAGATTTAACATGTTGAAATTTTAATGCATTTTTTTATTGATACATTTTTTTTTTTCAGACAAAAGTTCCTGCCGGAACCTTTGTAATCCAATGTTTCCGGTATGCCCGTAAATCGGACGTGCAAGCAACATCCTTAAACAGCAATTGATGACAAGGTCGTTCCTCTCGGCCCATCAGGGTTTAATTCCTGCTTCAGAAAATAAACTGATGCTAAAATGAGTTAGCCTGTCAGTGAAGCTATTCAAGACTAAAATCACATCTCAGTCATCTAATGCTAAAGTCGCCGTGCACAGTTCATATTTCTAAAAACGTGTTTTTTCAAATAAGTTTCTGAATCACTTGAAATCACTTTGCATCAATTTCACAGTTGAATAATCTAAAAAAAAAAACAAAAAAAACAACAACACAAAAACAATGAAAAAAAACTAATTGAAAACAATATTTTTAATGTTGAGCTCATAGGTCTAGTTCCTCAATAAATAAGCATCAAAACCGGGTTTTTGAATTTAAAATGTTGATTATGTTGTCAATATATGGTTTGCTTACAATGCGATTAATTACAGACATTGCAATTAACAAGTCCAAATCTTGTAATCGAGTCCCACCACTACCTAGAAGCTTACTTATTTATGCTTAAACACCATTAACGACCCATTATACTTGTAGTGCATCAAATTAGCATTTTAGCAATCCTGAAGAATTAGAACAGATGCAATTACCGGTAAGTAGGACCAAACATTTAACCAGCTTCTTCATTAAAATGACCTGAAGAGGCATATAATGTTGCTTAATGCCACATATGTGATGGGATTTATTGAAAAGCATTAGGAACAATAAGTAAAAAGAATAATTAGAAACATGTGCGTCTACATAAAATGTTGCAAAGACTCTGAAACCAAAAGACATGAACGACTAATACGTTATATATTTTTATGTAAATTTGTTGCAGCTGTCATTTTGATTTTATAGGTTTCTAACTTTATTAAATTTAATAATACTGTTAAATGTTTCTAGATTTAGCAGTATTTAACACACACTCACTTATAAACCGATTGTAGATCAATAGGCGGTGATGGTGTCCCGTCTTTGGACACTCCAACATGCGACAACAGATTACAAAATGAAACTCACAACTCTATAAAGTTTCCTGGTGTTATTCCTGAATTAGCAACAGCTGCCTGAAGTTTTCCAGCAGGCATCCTGATCAGACGCCTAAACCACATCGGCTAACACGTGTTGACGTACGGGTAATCTACATCTGCTGGCCGCTGGTGAAGGTCAGGAAGTCGATGAAGGTTCAGCTCAGCTCTTCATCTTTACGAACCACAACAATAACCAGATTACTCCAGACAGAGCCGCAGTGGATCCATCTCATCCTCAAACTTCTTTCAAACACTTTACAGTAAACCGTCACGTGAGTAAGTGTACTTTGAAGTACAGCTGCACAGAAATCTTAAGCTCAAAACGCCTGGGATCAGACAGCGGCACACGCACACACAGTCGTGTTTTCATCACTTGCGGGGACTTCACATCGACTTCCATTAATTTCTACAGTCTAACCCTTACCATAACCCTAACCATCACATACCTAACCTTTACCCTAAACCTAACCATCACATACCTAACTACTAACCCAAAAACAACAATTTCCCTCATGGGGACCAAGAAAATGTCCCCACAAGGAGCAATATGGTCCTCACAACTCCACATTATATCCCATAAGGATATGAAAACCTGGTACACAAACACACACCACTTCAAAGTTGATCCAACATCATTTAACTTCTCTCTTCGATTACGGAGTGCCTTCCGAAGCCAAGCGTTCTCGTCAGTGTCGTTTGCTTAAAGGACGAGCCGTTCCAGACCTCCAGCACGTTCTTTTCTTCTCATCAGAAAGCCGCAGTTTGATCTGTGCTTTTTTATCAGTCACAAGAATGGAGCTCCGCCACCACCTTCTGCATTTGCTCTCATTAACTCTCCTATTTATAGCAGCCCTGGATAACGGCACGTCGGCCTCCTGGGAAGCGTTCTTCACTTAGCTGGATGTTTCTCACCGTTGCGCGTGTTTTTCTCTGTGCATACCAAACTGTTGCATTGACCTCAGGTTGTTTGCACACAGCATCGCGGGTAGATTAGTCTGGGTTTTTTACTCCGTGAAGGATGGCACATTAAAAATAAGAACTACTGCAAATGGTCTGTATTGTCAGCACAGTTTCTCATTAATTATAGTTAATTTCACACGTTTAATTATTTGCAGATGAAACTATGAGCTTGCAAGCACCTTTTTTCTCTCACTGTCTTAACTTAAATTAGACCAAACTTCTCTTGGTTTAGCTCAGTCTGAATTGCCCAAATTATTTATGTTTGCTAAATTCTTCAATAATAAGTTAAATAATGTCAGATTTGTTTATTAATGTCTTCAAATCAGAAGTTTACACACATTTCCTCAGAGTTTGGAAGCATTGCCTTTGAACTTCCACAAACATCAGACAGTACAGGCCCATTCAACCAAGTCGAATGTTTCTGAAAAGTCAATTTATTTGAGGAACTTTTTATCACAATGTGAAAAATGTAAAATAAAATAATTATGCAAAGATCGTTTTCTTTTTTTGTTATTTATTGTCATATCGAACTGGTTATTTGATACTTTATACATTAATACTTATGTTTGTTAGTCTTGTTCTGTCTGTTAGACTGAAATATTTGTTTTGTATCCACTAACTGGTGAATAAAAAAAATATTTTAAAATCATTGTTTCTGTTATTTATGATTTTCTGCTTGTAGTTGATGAAACACAGCTTTTAAAATTAAAATATTACATTAAAAATATTTTTCAAAAAGAGAAATGTCTCAAAAGAATCTTTAATAAAAATCTTTAATAAAAGTTATTTTCTAAAGGCTCTCTCCTTTGGGGACGACTAACAAGGCTCATAGGAACATATATTTTGTTGAATACGACTGCAGTTTGCTGTAATTTTGTCCCATTCCTCCCTGACAGAAGTCAGGTGTCACTGGATAGGCACAAAACAGGGCCTGACATTGTCAAAGTTTGCTATTTATGAAACACAAACTTGACGAGAAAATATGTGATCTCTCTCTCAGTCCAACTCTGACCCATCCATAGTGTGCGCTTGTTTTGGAGACAGGGAGATGGTCACTGATTGACCCCATCATCAGCATTCAAAAACACATTGTTCCACATGCTTCATTGGTAAGACTTAACTACACATATGCTACAAAAAAGAACAATAAGGCAGCTAGAATATAAACTAGCTTAGCATTAAAGTTGGGAAGTATAAAAAGGTATTTTTTTCCTCTGCTTATCATAAATTCTGTTTAATCCCAGTGCCATATTTTTGTTCTGCAGACACCAGAGAAAGTACAGAGCAGGATTAGACGGATGGGATTAAAGAGTCTCCAGCTGCTTTCAGATCAAAGTTTGGCCAGAAACACCCGGCCACTAATCCTCCTTTTTGGGACATTTTGTCTTTATCTATTCGGGAAAAAAAATAAAATAAAATACTGGTGATGCAGTAAAGGAAGGTAAAACGATCGAGCAAAAAAGAAAGTTGAGTGTCTGTGATTCATGGAGATGACGGACATGTAACCACTGCGGACATGTCCGCAGTTTCGCCACATCATGTTCATCCTCCGATCCAATAAAACTAAACCGGCAGACGCATTTTAAACACAAGCATTTATAATAGATGATAGTCCATTAACCTTAATTGTGAACTTTTTTTGACTCTCATCTTTTTCTCTATTGCATTTTGTTGCATGGTACAACAGCAATAACAAACAGCATTGTCTTTCATCTTTTATGTATGAGAAATATTTAAAAATTCATTAGAAAAATACCCGAAATTACATGAAGCATTAACACAACATCACACGCTTGTCTAGGTTTGTGATGTTGAATGAATAGCTTGAAACTGTCGAGAGCCATTGAACCGATTCCTTCATACTGTATACTTTAGGGTTGTTTTTATTTGGACATCATTTATGAGAACATCGAACAAATACTAACTTGTCGCTCTCAATGGCGTAGATGTAGTTGGTGCTGAAGCATCCAGAGGTAAGAAGCTGTGGCGTGGTCTGTCCCTGGAACAGCAGCTGCTTTCTGGCCATCTTCACCAAGATGAGACGCACCAGCTCCCCCATGTACAGCCCGCTTATCATCTTCTCAAACCTGAGAAAGGTACAGACAAAAAACACACCACATACCAGATATTTACATACACTGAATAAAAAGATACAAACTTGTTTTTTCTCACTTGTGGGAGGACATCCAAAAGGTTTGACCCAAGTCATACATTTTAAAAGATAGTTATCCCTGATGTACAAACGTCCTCGTTAAGTTTTCTGGCATCTAGCAAACAGAAATAATTTTGGTAATTCTCACTGAGCTAAAACGAAAAAAAAAGGTTGGATCGGTTTTAACTTCAGACACCGAGAAAAAAAAGTGTTTGTGGCTTATTTATCAGGTGTATGCAAACATCTGGTCTGAACTAAATGGATCGAATTCATGATGCCAGAACTTCTCAATATATTCTCCACTTGCACTTTAATTTCCAAAAGGCAGCCTCTGCAAGGTAATTCACATTTAGAATCAGAACTGTTTTAGTGATGACACATGCTGATAAGACATCTGTCTGGGAGATTTTTTTAATAAGATGAGAGAATAAATTAAGATGCGAGAACACAAAAATACCATCTGGGTGACATTTCTTTGCAAATAAAATGATCAATTATAACTCTTGCTTAATTTAAGGAATGCTGTATAGACTCACAAGTGCGTATTGTGGACGGCGCACAAGTCTTCACATCCACCTTGTGTCTGGCAAATCATCAGCTCCATTTCCAGTAAAGATAACTAAATAGGCATTAAAGCTGCATGTTTCTGCATTTCTTAAGGACAGCTCCAATCGACCTTTTTTTAAGCCATTCTGATTTTAAAATACATAATTATAGAGAAGACGTTCACAGAAAATGTGAGAGCTGAATATGACTTTCAAATTTAATTACAGTGCAGGCTCGCAAAACTTGAACCCACATGCTTTGGGGCGAAGGGTCTTGTTTAGAAAAGGCAGCACAAGGAATTACAGCAGAAAGAGCGAAATGGAACGCCCCCCACATTTATAAATAAACACTTGCTCACTGTCCACATGTAGCCAGGTCTTTATAAAAACTAAAAATATACATATTGTGCACTCTGGATTGGTTTCATCCACATGAAACCTGCACCAAAATGCTCCAAGCACTGTTTTAAACATGCCAAACCCCTAGGGGGCAGTGTAGCTCCAAGCTAAAAACAATGTCAGTCGATCAGATTGCTACTACTTCCTGTTACGAATTAAACATAGCGCCAGGAGGTTTGTTTGTGTGGTCAGATATATAGCTAGAACTACTTTTAAATAGTATATTAGAATATAAAGTTGTTTAAATGCAAAACAATGCCCTAAATCTCCACTTTGCCGTCTACTCACGAAAACACAAATATGGAGTTTTCTTAAATATCCACTTTAGTTGTAGTTTTTATGAATAATTGTTTTCAGTGGTATTAAACAGAGTTTGTGTGTACATGAAAGGCCAAAACGCATAAAAATGTATTTTTTTTTTCCAGATATCCAGCTACGCGATGAGTGAAAGACAATTCAGGTTTGACTGGCATACTGGTTATAAATGTGTCCTTACTTTACAGTCTTATTATTGTTTCTCTGTTTTGATATTTTTTAACCTAATTTGTAGTTCCATTTGCCTTTAACTTGATGTTACCACATGTGAATTTCTCCACTGAGGGACAATAATGGATATTTAAATTCTATTCACTTCATTGTTTTGTTATACTTTGCTGCAATGCATCAAGTCAGAGCGACTGAAGGAAAATTCCTATCACACCTTTCAGAGTTCTGGTTGCAAAAACACAAACAAAAAGTGAGCTTTGTGGTTGTATCAAGACAAAATGAGCAAGTTCTATGGTAATTTAATGCTGAATATAGCAAGTGTGGATGACTCCGTTGTCGTTTGTGACTGACGGTGAATGTTTAGAATATTTCATGCAGAGATATGCTGCCCAGCATAATGGTAAAATAAATAAAAATACAAAAAAAAGTTTAAGAACTTCAAGTTGCTTCCAAGTAGGACAAGGAGGCAGAGTTGGATTGGTTTCAATCCACTAGGCGAAAGTTTGTTTATTTGTTGCATCTTACATTTCTTCTTGTCAGTATTTGAAAGTCTGAACAGCCTGAAAAGGCTCCGATGAGCATATTAAATTGAACTGACTGCGTTTTAAAACGCACTCTTATCAAGGCTACCCTCCTTGCAATTTTCTTCCACAAGGAATAAACTAATAGAGCGTATAAGTGCCGTATTCACTGTTTGCTTATAAGTGCCTACAGGTAAAGTGGGAGGCCGTTATCAAATTGACAGTTAAAAAATAAATAAAACCCTCCCAGCTGAGGTATAAATAAATAAGCAGAATGTATCCAGCTACAGTAAATGTGATCAGATTTTGGAGGCTTCACAACAGCAGCATGTTTTATATCAGAAGAATAAAGCAATTTTACACTTTCATTTCAGACAGACTGAAAGGCAAAAAGAAAATTAGAAACAAATTCTGCCAAAAATAAATAAAAGGACCAACAAAATATTTAATCGCAATTAAGTAAAAACTGATCACATTTAAAAAAAAATTTCTTAATGTACTTTAACAGAATTTTTTTTATTGCTAGTATTCTAACAAGCATTGTGTTTTATGGACAGGATAAATACAATAAATATCTCGTGAAATAGTTGCTTAGATGTGCTATTAATTTTTTAAAACTGGAATTAAACACAGAAAAAACTTGTTTTCATTATAGGAGTCGATTAAAGGTACCGATTTCATTTTTTTAAAACAGATATAACCATTTCATGGTTCAAAAATTATTTTATACTTCTGTACTGAAGTGCATCATGGATTAATTTAAACCTGATGGGCGGAATGTGGGCTGCGTGACATCACCACGTAAATCCCGCCTCGTGGCTTCCTGCTGGAGGGCAACAAGCTGCTCGCTCATAATGACCACCACCGGTGTTAGCTGTCAAGTTGTCAACATAAATGTATGTGTGATATGTAAAACGAAAATAGGACTGTAGTGCTCTGCTACTAATTGTCAACACTATGACTACATAACAAGGTCAGGAAAAAGTTTTAATTAAAAAAGAAAATAGCAGGGGAAATAGGTCAGTTATGCTATCTTGACTTTGACAACTTAAAGATGTAGAGGTGATGTGTGTTTCAGTTTAATTAAAAAATATAAAAAGGCGATCCACACACCAACTCTGACAGATCATCAGCAGAGCAGGTGTGTAAATTAGCTAATCAACCAATCTAATTGACCAAAGCTATCACATGTTAATAGTCACATAATAAACATCAAGCCTCGAAACATAAAACTGTAACGGACTTAATGTTCTGTTCTGTGTGGGAAATGTTTGAGTGTTTTTAGTTGTTGAATCCTGACACGTTAGTGGCGTTGTTGTCAGTCAGTTGCTACGGTGATGAGCTTGTGTGAGGCATAGCCGACACAGCGAGCGAGAAAAGAAGAGTGAGTAGTTTTGAGTTGTTCTAAATGGTTTTTATGCATCATTTTCAATTCAAGTTAAACTACAGTTGAGCAAATGTGAGAAATTTCTGGATGTAAACAATAACATGCAACAAACCCTGACGTCTGATTGGCTGCTTCAAACAGCATGCCAAGACAACTTCTTAATGCTATGACTGCTGTGCCCGGCAAATAAATAACACCACCACTTTAAAAAGAACAGCTGGGAAACACTGACCCTCTCTAAGGGTCAGGGACTCTCTACAGCGAGGGTCCGCCCCTTGAGGGCTGGGATCCTGCAGCCTTCAGATGCGTCTCTGCTTCAACACACCAGTCAAATAATCAGGTCATTAGCTTGACTCTGGAGAACTTGACTGCATTGCTGAGGAGGTAACTCAGCCATTTGATTCAGGTACACAACCAAAAGTTGCAGGACACCGGCTGTGGAGTTGAAGACCCCTGCCCTACAGTGTTAAGAGGAAGTGGGATTAAGCCCAAATCAAAATAAACTCACTTGGTGGTTTTGGAGTTAAGGCGTCTGGAGATTGAAATGTTCCCACTGGCCCCTCAAGTCAAATCTTATCTCAACTTGACTTGGTTTACTTGCAATGAGGATTACTGAGGATTAATGAACGTCAGATGTACCATCCAGGATGAAGCCTGCAGCATCGTTTTAGTTAATGCCCCCCCTGCTGGGATGAATTTGTGACTAAGTGCTTTAGGTCTTGAAAGAGGAGGAAGTTCAGATTGCAACTCAGGAAGTTTGAAGGCCATGCTCTGTCGTGCATTATATGCAGCTGGTGGAAGTAGGGATACGGGCCTGATCATGACAACATAAAGACTGTTGCAAGGCACCAAGCCTGAAGTCTACAACATATGCAACTCAATAACTGAGTGACCAACATCCCAAACGTACGGGACAGTAACTGTGATTGACGCTTTGATCTCAGCAGTAAATGATGTTACGGATGAGGACCGTGAGAAGGTTAGTCAGTACTCAGAGCTAAAGTGAAGTCGAAAAGGGAAAAACAATCCAGATTGTTTCTGTAACACTCAAAAAAAAAAAATCCTGTAGAACATAAATTATTAATCTACATATATAAAACGGTGTGGAGATGAAGATTTCTGATTATGCATATTTATTCTGCAGCTACTGCCGTGATGAATTCAGTGACACTCACAGCTGCTTGCCAGGGTTCAGCGAGCCAGCGTCGATTTCCCGGTCGATGTCGGTGCGCAGGTCTTCCAGGGCGCCGTCGTCTCCAAACGCTCCCCACTCTGTGTTCACACACATCTGCCCCTCATCGCCGTCCATCAGCTGGAGGTTCCTCATCTGCTCCATGTAACACGCATTAGTGCCCGTTCCTGGAGAGAAATGGTGTTACCGTGACGATGGCTGATTAACAAACATAATACAGTTCTAAACAGCATCTACAGATTACTGCCCTGTAAATACGTCTGACGTGGTTGAAGCTCTACTTTGTGGACCGTTATTTACATCTGGACATATTGAGATAAGTTTCGTCTTTGCTTAAATTGACTTTATATTAAACTGATCATAGGATCATCAAATACAGAGTTTGAGTTTTGTCCCAGTGTTGGGCTCGATATACGTTCGACATTCATCTGCTAGTGTTGTTATGGAGTTAGAGCTGGCAGGTTAGGAGTGACTCGCATGTTGTGTTTTATGACATAACAGACAGCACCTCCACCCAAAATGTGGAAAACGTCTTATTATTTTAGGTTTTGTCCATTTGAAAAATCCAAACTTTATTTTAAGTTCATTTATTCAGAGGGGGGGAACAAAACACAGGGTAAGAAATAATAGTTTCTGACAAAACCAGCAGTGGGACCCCAACCAATACACACAAACTAAACAAAGCATTTCAACTGAGCTTCCATAACTTCCTGTTTTTCTTGAAGCTCAAATATGATGCAGCACAGAGACCCCTCTTCAGCTAGTAAATCTCTAATATGTAGCACATAAAATGCAACAAAGTGAAATGACACTTTGGGTCAATTTAAATATCCCAGAGCGTTGCAAAGGACAGAAAGAGTAAGAGCCATACAGGCGGAAAAAATACTTTTTATTGATTTCATTATGGAAATATGCCTCTACATTAGCATGTTCCTATATGTAGCAGCTCGTTCCCTGAATGCCCTCAGAGTGGGGCATTAGGCAGAGTTAAAACTCAACGGCAGAAACTTCAGAATCAGCAGTGATGTGCAGCTGTTCCTGGCCTGCAGGCGTCCCCTCAATTAACAAGCGCTGCTCACAGGAACCTTTGTCGTCCAAGTACAATATGCACTTCACCGTGATCTTGTTCGTGTCATTTTCAAACAAATATTCCAAAATTGGAAAGAACAACTTTAATGATGTGAGCACCGTCTGCCTTTTTCCATCACATTAGCCAAGTTGACTAGAAATGGGGACTGATGAGAACGGGACTGATTGCCTGCTGGGGAGGCAGAAGAGACATGGAATCAATCCAGGATTTCATTTCTTTAGCCTGGTGGAAACAAGTAGATTTGTGACATTTGGATTGATTTTGTCTCAACTGCAGTTCAACATTGACTTAAGTTTGATCCATCTGGAGCGGGTGGTTGGTGCAGATGGAGACTTTTCATTTTTAATCAGGGTAAAATTATCGATATTTTCTTACAATGGAAAATGTTTAGTATGGCAAAGTATTCGTCTTTTTTACAACAGAGCTTGTATAATGAGTAGAGCCACGTTTATCCAGGCACTTTTACCGAAAGGCCGTCTTTGCTGCACCCAAATCTGCTTGTTTTTTTCATTTGTTACATTTGGCTAATTATAGCAACTATTTTTTTTTAAATGTGATCCAAGTCCTGTTGTTCAACTGAGCCAAGATTTACCCCAGAAAACTTGCTAAGCCCGGTGGTTGGTGCTAGGCCAGTCATTCATCCAGCGGCCCATCGTGTTTTTGAGTTAAAAAATGTTTAAAGTTGACAAGAAATTTGAAAATATCACTTGATAATTATGTGCTGTTGAAAGATTGCAAGATTAATACCTGAACACCAACTATAAAGTCTTTAAAAATGCAAACATTTTAAAAAGACTTTAAAAAATAAGCAAGGTTTAGCCTGGCGGGGGCACAAGTAAAGCCTGGTGGTCTGCCAGGCTTATGATACACTGGGAGAAACCTTGTGAGCCCAAAGGAAACTGAAAACTATATGACTTTCTTTTCATACAGCAAATGTGCACAATCCTTGTTAAATTTTGCATCTACAACAAATGCCATCCCTTACAAAGACAAAAAAAGAAAAACAAACAAAACATAAATTAAACAATTTACTTGATTTTAGTTTTATTTTTACTTTTTTGTCACGAGTACTTTTGACTCAACAGTTTTGGCCCAAGTAACAAAAAGTTTGGAAACCCTCGAACTGGTAACACGTACCTACATGGTGCAGTTAAATAAATAGCCACAAACACGCAACACAAGTTCCATCAGGAACTTGGTTTTTCATGCAAGCAGCAGAAAAGTGTGAAAATTAACCAGAAGAAACGATTCAAACAGCAACGTCTTCCACTAAAAATCTGTTGTTTTTTTCTCTCCAAACATCTAAGAGCAGTCGCAAGCACCCAAATGTTTCATGTAGTAAATTAATTTACAAAATGGATAGCAATTTCTATCATAATGTGGGTTAATAATTAGTTATAAGATGTTTAAAAGCCATAAAAAGAGTTTTTGAATATTTTCAGTCCTTTTCATTATTTGTTGCATTTCTTTAGAAAAGAAGAAGGGAAAAAACATGTTGTTAAGCGTAAACAGATGAGCAAAACATGCAAATGCAATTAAATTCATGAAAGAGCGAATGTAAATACGAGTTCAACCTTCTTCCCTTCTGCTTTTAACAATCTGGGTGTTATGTTTAGAAATGCAGCATGATTGAATGACAAACACTGCGTGTGTATTTGTGTGTGCGCTAAATCAACGTTAAAGTGTTGAAGAAACATAAATGCCCGCGGCAGGCCAGGTTACGACCTGGGTTTATTTCAGCCTTCACCCTCGAGTTTCTCTGAATAGCCTCGGCAGATTATCTATAATCTTGCTAAATGCTGATATTTTGAAGTCAATACAAACAGAACACTTGAAGCCAGAGTGACCTAAACGCCTCAGAATGATTTTCTTTCCTTGGCAAATTGCCTACTTGGTTTTCTTCCCCTCCCTGATTTCTGCTTTCATAACTCAAAATGTCGAAGGGCCTTCATCTTCACTTTACCTATAATCACAGTCAGATTGCACTTACCCACTATAAGGCCAATTTCACAGTGACGGTCGTCAAAGCCGCAGGTCATCATGGTCCCCACCGTGTCGCTGATCACTGCCATGATGTCAGTGTCGAAGTCCTGCAATGAAAGTTTGTTTACGAGCTAAAGCTGGAGGTTCTGGAGAATGAAATTAAAAATGTAGACACACCTTGATTAGAAACAACGAAAACTGCGAGGATGTCAGAACATTTACCGTATTTTCCGCACTATAAGGCGCACCTTCAATGAATGGCCTATTTTAGGACTTTTTTCCGTATATTAGGCGCACCGCAGTGCTTCATACTCTATTATTACACATCCACATTTACAAGGATATGGTCCCCCAAGTACTTTATATAGTAGGCTGGCCCAGTCGTTGTTTCACTCACGGTGTTGGTGTTGCGATATTATGCCCAACTGCTTTCTGGGTAACACAGACCAACCGACACGCTGCCGCCGCTGTCTCCGTCTCTGTTCCCCTGCCCCTCCCCCCTGGCTTTAAATGTATTATCAAACTTTATTAACAAACCAGCGTTCTGACAACTATCCCAGCATGCACCGCGCACTTCTTCTACGGGGAAAAAGAAGTTGGCGGCTGCTTACCGTAGTGGACCAACTACGTAAGCAGCCTACTGCATGTCTGTGTAAACATGACGTCTTTCATTTCGATCTGAGTTAATTAGCGTAGCATTTCTGCCGGATTTTCACAAAATATCAGCCACGACAATGGACAGGGGAACCAACAAGTTTATGTCATCTTTTTTGGATGAAATCAAGGTGTTTGAGCCACGGGATGCCTCCAACATTGTGCGCGTCACAACTAAATGCTACCGGTCATGAGGAAAACAGCAGATCCTCACACCCTCAGCATAAATATACTGTGGACAAGATCACTGATGCCTGTTGTTCTTGCAAGGCTGGGGGCATTCATGGTTTTGACGGTTACTTTTGGAATCAGTGATTTCTGTTGTTGGCAAATGTTTGAGTGTGCCTAGGCCTGATACCTGGTGCTAGCGTGGCTAACACGATTACAGTTTCGTAAACAGCATTTTTAGGTAAAATAAAATCTTTAATGCATGTCAGATACGGTACACATTGCATATTGATCTGCTCAACTAACTTAAGACCGTGTAACAGACAGGCTTCAAGGTGTAGAAGTTGTATCCGTACTGCCATTATGCTGTTCTTAGCTAAAAGGTTTTCATAATGGATGTATTAATTATTGACTTTCGTTTTTTTCATTCACTAAACACAAAGAAAGCAAAGCAATAATACTTACACCAGCACACAGTCCTTTGTTCTTATTGATCCTACGACGGTTGAGAAGCAAATGCGGTCGTGCCCAAGCTTTGATCCAAGCAAGGCATCCCGTTTCAGATTTTGGAAATCTGTGAATTTTAGTTTCACAAATACGATCAGGATGCCTGACATCGCCTGTGCAGATTCCCCACCGACAGTGGAGAACCATTCTTTTTCGAGTCCTGACGCAAAAACTTTCTGCCGGTCTTGTGTCACAAGACCTGTCTGCTAGTCCACAATGTACATTAGCATGTGTTTACTACAGTAGCTTGTTTTTGTGAGACGGTCACCACGTGGTCGCTGCGCTGTGACGTGAAATGGGCATTAGCCAATGAAACGCGGACCCTGTGGTAAGGTTCACTGCTAGACCTGTTGCAGTGGTCTATATATGGACCAACATATATATGTTGGTCCATATATAAGGTGCACCGGATTATAAGGCTCACTGTCAGCTTTTGAGGAAATTGAAGGTTTTTAGGTGCGCCTTATAGTGCGGAAAATACGGTAATTCAAACAATGCTTCGACCTTAAGCAGCAGGATGCATCTTTTATAAAATATAAAAATATATACATTTATTATTATTTGCAGCAACGTGTGGATGGATGGGGTTGGGGCAAAAAGCCCACATTTGCTGTTATCTCTGTAATCAATGACGAGTTGTTGCTGGATGATGTTTATTTATTCATTACATTTTTGCCTGAACTGTCCCCATGTCATGTATGGTATGAATCAGATGATGTGTGGTGAAAAGAAAATCAAAAATCTAACTCCTGTGCCTTTTCCCAGGGGTAATTAGAAACAACAAATCAGAGCTGGGAGGCGGGCTTTAATGCTGTCAATCATGCCCATGTGCGCTCTTGCTCTCTGCTATGATACAGTTTCTCCCCGCCAGTAGATGATGGCGGATAAACGGTTTTCCTGTAACAGTTAATTGTTTCTCCACCATTAGCACATTTAGCAGCGCATTCACAAGGTTGATTGACAGCACCAAGACCCGCCTCCTGTGTATGGTTGGTTGGTTTTGTTCATTTCCTCAGGTGACAATAGTAGCTCAGACTGATCTTTTCACAGATCAGATCATGTGTTTCAAAGCATACCGGCACAACACAGTGACAGTTTTATAAAATATGCAAAAAACATTTATTTTTTATAAAAGTTACATACTGCCGCTTTGGCTTTTAGGATTTTTCTTTTCTTCCAGATTTTTATTTTCCACATTTGATGTAAATTTGACATTCAGATGTTGGGCATCATTGATTGCTGACTGAGTGTTAAAGTTCCCAGCAGGCGTCTGGCTGGTCATCAGCCACCTGAACAGGAGGCGTGCTGAGACATACTCACTTCTGCCAGCAGCTCTGCTTCACTTGCACAGAACATTTAAAGTCAAAAACAAAATCTAAAGTCATTTCACTCCTGCGGTGACTGCCTTCTTTCATCTACCCCAACTATTTCTCAATATTCAAACTAAATCTCCAGTTTGCAACCTGCACAATAAACAAGCGGTTCTGTATAATTGTGCTCCGTCTCATTTCAGAACCATTTTTGGCTGGCAAAACGAGAGGGTCCCGTGTCCTCAATCCGCAGCGCAGACGTTTTTGATCTCTCTGAAACGTTTTTAGTCTGGATGACGTGCCTGTAACATACATCTGTCGGTTCTGATGGCAGCACAGGCCCAGAACAAACAGAATGGCTCTGGTTGAACATGACTCGTGCCCCGAGGTTCTCAGAGCTCAAACATTTAGTATGCAGTTGGATCGCTTCGATTTCACTTTATGTGTTCTGGATGTTCAAAGTTCAAAAGAAGAGTGAATGTGCTGATCTGCAGCGGATTCTCCAGCGGATGTAGAAAGCCAACAAACTCCTGAAAAAAGTCTGCTCTAGTGACTTTCAAACACTTAAAGGAATGTCTACATTTTAAATCTTTACATAATGTGACCTTTAACCCAAACAATTCAACCGAAAACTTTAAGGGGGGGAGGAGGGGCGACTAGAATATTGAGCAACACCCTGTTATGACTGGACATGATTGCTTGTATTTTGCTTTGGGTTTAATAATCAGACAATGTGCAGCTGGCACCAAGCTCTCACACAATCACACAGTTCATAAAAAGCTGTGTGTCGTTCGTGTTGAAGCCAGAGCTGTTCTGTAAAAATGGTCGACTACAATTCCCCCAAAACCCCGCAGACGTTTTGGAGAAACGCTCCCATTTCTGGGAATAACAGCTTTGTGTCCAAAGGTGTTGTTTTCTTTTACCCCTCGTTTTTTGATGGACTTTCTCAGAAGGCTGACCACATCGTTCCCTTCCACTCCACTCAGCCTGAAGCCTTTGGTCCAAGAAATCAGAACGCTCTGAAAAAAAAAAAGATAAAGACAAAGAAGAGTCAGGACTCATTTCAGGTTTGCTTTGTCAAACCTTTCAGGCTTTCAGATTAACTTTATTGTCCTTGAGGGGCAAACTTGCTTTGCAGACAGCAGGACAGCCAAAGATAAATACATAAAGAAAATAACAAAATTAGAAACACACCACAACATCCAGTTTTCTACCACCACAGTTTGTTTAGGCTTATCTCAACTTATTTCAATAGTAAACGTCTTTACTCTCAGGAATCACTTTACAGCTGCTTTTTGTTCCGTAAAACAAAGAGGGGCTCAGAGTTCGCAGACAAGTCGTGGAGCCGTTGTACTCTGGAACACCGAAAGCTGCAATAAATGTAATTAGAACCTGACAAAATGTAGCAACTGCACCACATTCATGTACAGCTGCCATGACGAGCCAGACGATGGAGCTCTGGCTCACTGGAGAACTATTTGAGTCTGACGTTGGCATTTTGAGGAAAATGTGGCACGTCAGACTTAAAATGTGATCGGGGCCCCAACAAGGAGCCGGAAATTCAATTTTGAATTTGGATAGAAAAATTGTCCCTTATTTTTCTTCATATTAATGGTTTCGAAGACATTGAGTGGCACGCCAGTGGCTATGACTTCATCATTTCCTGTGCACCTATTTTTATTTATTTTTTTTTTACTCTTGCAATTTGATCTGCATTTTCAGGAAACAACAGGTGACTATTTTCTTCTCATTCAGCCTGACTTGCAACTTCTGGCCTTCAAATCTGAAATAAGATAAGTTTATATGACAAAGAATAGACTGAAATCCTGTGTCCATCTTTGTTGTTTCAGTCTGAAATTCAAAACAAGCATTTGTGCCAAGTAGAAATTACTTAGCAGCTTAAAGTTGCAATACATAAGCTTTATAAACAATTTTTTTTACTGATTTGTTAAAACTGCTGCTATGTTGTGGCAGTATAACATGAAATAAACAATATGTGAAAAAGAAAAACTGAAGATCACTGAGATTATCTTCAGAGACGCTACCAACCCAAACTATTCTGAAAAGAAAAAGGGTCAAACATTTGAGTTTCTAGTTGTGCAAAGCAGGTAGAAAACCACCCAAGAAAAAAAGTCAACTCTTTACAAAAAACATTTTAAACCTTCTACTTGGAAATATTCCACACCTTTGTGGTGATCTGTTAAATACAATCTCTATAAAATACAGAGTTTTGGGGTTGTAAAGTTTGAAAAAAATGTTCAAGAACTTTTTGTGTTCACCATCAAAGTGTCAGTGGATTTAAAAAACTTGGTTTTCAAAGCAAAATTCCCAAAATTCCTCTTCACACTTTGTCCATGAATTCGAAAGATGTTTTCAATGAGCTGTCAGGTTTGCAGAATGAGATGCAGCAACAATCAGACTTCAGTGCAGAAAACATTTAAACGCATTAGAGAAGACGACAGTTTCTAGACCAAAGGATTCCCAGTCACAACACAAATTTGAGTTTGAAAAGTGCATCTGTCTAACGAGTCAGATTTCAAGGAAAAACTATATTGAAACAGTTTCTAACCGAATGAGAGGAGGATAATTGCGAGGAAAGAAGAAATAATAATAATAATAATAATAATAATAAGAAGAAGAGCTCATCAGAGATTAGAGAGCTTCATGGCTCAAACGCTGTGGCACATATGGTCTGGGAAAACAACAGGATGGAGGGTCTGGTTGCCTTGTAGTACAGATGGCAGATTCTGGAGCAGATTTGTTCTAGAAAAGGAGGAAAACAAGGCATGTCCTTGTTGTACGTTGACTTTATTAAATTAATGACAGAATGACGTCATACGGAGGCTACGCATCAGACTGGACAGGCCACAGGCGGAAAAATCGATAATAAACTGAATGCAAGGGACAGAGGAAAAGGGTCAAAAGGAAGAAGAGAAGCCAGTTAACTGTAACTGTAATGACAACAATTATGGCAATAATAATAATAATAATAATAATAATAGTTAAATGGGACCTAAAGAAGCTGTTGTGTCTCATTCATCCTTAGACATACCAGTAGCAAATGCAGAAAAATACTTTTCCTGTACAACTATCACACCTTAGATGAAGCTAATTCCATTTCATCTGTCACTAGCCATTTTCTGACCATATAAATGTGCAAAATGAAATTGCAAAAATAAATTTAAAAGGAAACATGACGATTTCAAAAGAACTCTTGTTTTTTAACAAAGTTTTTTGCGCTAGAATGAGGTGTTTTTTGTTTTGATTTTTTCCTGGCCATATCAAAGTAGATTTATTTTGTAAAAACACAATGGAAACACTTTTTCACATCACACGAGTCACGTGATCAACAGTTGGATGTTACTACTGGCAAAAACAACAAAGAAGATGACAGGAGGATGATGGTTTCATTTGTTTTTGAACAGTGAGAAGCCGGCTCCACCAGAGCTCTCACTGCATCACACAGTTCATAAAAAGTTCTGTGTTACTTGAACATGTTGAATCCATCGCTCTTCTTCTTCTGTAAAATGGCCGCAGACAATTGTGTTTTTTCAGCATCAGCAAAATATCAACACAGTTTTGTAAACATTTGTACTGGAACGCAGCTGGAAGTTGTTAGTCTTTTAGTCATCGAAAACGGTTTATAATTTTATTTTATTTTGACTTGCTGGAAAATGAATTGTCTGCTGAGACGTGAATAACCATCTGAAGCTTGATAACTGCAGGATTTTGTCTGGTTCCACTGATATTAGCTGTGAGTGTGTTTGTATATTCCTGCATCTAAGAGTGCACAGAAACGGAGGATAAATTTCACATCAGTGCAATCAGGGACAAACGCGCCACAACGCAACTACCCCAACAAGAGAAACTGTTGTAATAGTAGTAGCCCACTTCAACCCCTTCACATCCCTCTCAAAACGATAAGAGGTGCCAGCAGACAGGTCACCACACCCAGCCAGTCATCATCCCTGCAGCAGGGAGCCTGGGCTGCAGTCTGAAGGAAAACTATTCCAGGAGCATTCTGTGTTGCCATTTTTCTTCAAAAGTATCAAAACATCAATCACACACTTGTGGGTGGGACAAAAAAAATCTAAAGGCTCCTCGAGGAAAGAAAGGTGAAAACACCCTCACAGCTCTAGTAACCTGCCTGATTTCCTCCCACATCAAGATGAAATCAACTTGTTGAGGACTGGGGGCGAAAAGAAAAGGGAGAGAAAAACTTCAAAATAAACCAGAACAGGAAATGGGCTTGTTCTCAAGACCAAACTTAAAATAAAAAAAAATTATAAAAAAAAAAAATCATTGTCAAAAAAAAATAAATTAATTAAAGAAAAGTTGATGAATAATTAATTAGTGCTTTGATTTTTGCTTTATGTATCAAGCCAGTTACTTTGGAGCATTCAGCTCTTTGGTTTGAAAGGGGGTTCATCTCTCACAAAGTTTGACGTGTGCGCCTGTGAAGATGAGAGAGGGTGTGTGTGTGTGTGTGTGTGTGTGTGTGTGTGTGTGTGTGTGTGTGTGTGCGTGTGTGCGTGTGGGTTGGGGGGGGCGGTGAGGTGTGATGAAGACCCTCACCAACTGATGCAAATAACAGCAACAGACATAAAATTTTAAAAAGGTGACAACGAGCACAGCCGGGCTCTGTGGGGAGGTTCTGACAGGTCTTGGAAGGAGCACTCTGCAGTGAAAGGAGTCGTCTCATATTAAAGAGTAAATTCAACCTTTTATGTTTCTTTTGTTCCTGAGGATGTCAAGATGAAGTCCTACAGTCTCGATGAGGAAGTAGTCCTCCCACCTGCTGCTGGCAGAAAGCAGAAGCTCAGTGCTGCTCCAAGCCAGGCTCTGCTTGGAGCAGCACTGAGGCTCTGACAGCGTCAGAGAAAAGTGACACATGTCGTTTCTGCTTTAAGAATCACATTCTGTATGGAAAACTCTACATACGGTATGTCAATGTGCTAGATGTGACCCACAAAAGAGCTTCTCCAAGTGTGAATAAAGGCGGGGCACAGGAAACAAAAAATAATAACTGCGGACATTTAGTCAACTTCACCAAATCCAACTTCACAAACATTGGCTGTCCATGGCTGGAGCCGTCTGCCTCTTCCACTCCAAAACTCGATGAAAACTTGACGTAGAGGTACCAAATTCAGCGGTGGGTTGGTTGACACGCTGGTTGTTTGGATCCTTTTGTTGAGTGTTGTTAATTCTACTGCCATGATCCCTTTTAAGGTCAAGGTTGGTCTATTTTACCACTTCTCCATAGTGGATTATGGTTTTTTTAGTTCGGATAAAACTGTTTTAGATCATGAAATGGGACTCCTGATTGTTTTCACTAAATCTTTTAAGGGACCCTAACAGTTTGACTAAACCACCATTGATCCATTTATTTATTTTTATGACATCGTTAGAAATGCTAATGCTTGTGGCATTGTTAGCAAAGTGCTTATGATGACTGAGCTTATTTTCAGTTTACGCTATGATTATTGAACATATTTTTATTCAATGACAATGTTTGGTGTGCAAAATGTGGTAAATGAGTAATTGAAAGAGATAATTTGTGAATGATGTAAAACTTTATAAGTCTAATCCAATGAAAGATGGAAGTTTGAAATGTCTCTAGTAACTATGAATCTGATTTGCTAAGTGCTGACTGCACTTTTTGTTGACCTTATTGATAAGTCAGGTTTTTTTGGAACGTCTGCCAAGAGTGGCAAACTTTTTATCTCCAGATCTTGAATGTCTTGAGTTCCCATTTTGGATAAATATTTTTTTGTTGTTTTTGCTAAAGACTTGACTAAAGGAGAAAAAAAAAAACACAAAATTGTTCTTGGCATGATCCCACAACATTAAAAGAGACATTTATGAGTGGAACATCAGTACAGGTGCAACAAAAAGTTTACTGAAATAATAGCAATAATGTAGTGTGGGTGTGGGTGGATGTCAATTTGCTCTCTAAGGGGAGGCCAGGTCTCCTACACTTTTAAAATCCCGGGTCTATAATAACCGATCAATACTTTTAGACAAAAAACTATTTTATGTTTTATTTTCTTTAAAAATTATTGTCAAAAATGAAAAACTTTCTCCAAATTACTATGTGCAGAGAGTCACCTCCCTGCGGAAGTGTGTGCATGTGTGTGTGTGTGTCCATCTGTCTGTGAGTGTGTGCCTTTATGCGAGCAACAACAAAGCAGATGGAGCTTCTGATGACTTCTGAGCGAGTTTTCCAGTTTTCAAAAAGCTGAAGTGGGCAAAAGCATGGAAACACTTCAGGTTTGTCAACAATGAACAGAGGTTTGGACACACCGAGGTTCCACTACCGCAGCCGTATCTGCAGCTCAACCCAGAGCCTGCTGATGAGCCAGAGAAAATAAAACACACAACTATCATTTTTTTAAAAGCCAGAAAACAACAATATCATAATTTATTGCAATAATTACTGGAATACTTTATTGTCCAGCAAAATTTTGTTATTGTGACAGGCCTATATACACATATAACATCGTCAAATGCAAGATTTATTTAGTGGCAACAACAGGTTAAGATAGAGTCCATCAAAACACTTGAGTCCATGTGTGCTGCTTACACACACATAAGGTTTCTACATAAGAATGTTAAGTAGTAGTGTGAGGAGCCACAGAGACTTGTCCCCTAGGACCTCAGGGAGGCATGGAGGAGATCAGAAAACTGTACCCCTGACCCCTCATCCCCACCTAGAGAGGAGCAGAGGAAAACCCCAGGGGAACAACCCAGCAGCCACTGTGCAGAGCCTCTAGGCCAGAGGTCTCCTAAGTTAAGAGCTGGTGTCCTGCACCCTGGTAGTAACTATTGCTTCGGCATGTCAGTGTTAGAAACAAGCCATCATTTGATTCATGTGTGTTGAACCAGGCAGAGAACTGAAACATGCAGGACTTCAGCCCGTGAGGACCGACTGTGGACACCGTGGGGAGCTACAGCGGAGAGCCAAACGGCTCCGCCGGAGAAGATCCAGACACAAACACACTCACACCCAATCTAAGGGCCACTCACACTCCCCATACACACTTTACACTGCAAAGGTTTTTTTTCCCCACTATAGTTTAGTTTTATTTTGACAGACGACATAAACTGCTTGTGTGATTTGGGGAAAAATAAAATATATATATATATTTATTTCACATCAGTTCAAAAGGCTAATAAATAGATTCACGAAGACAAAAACGAAGGGTATTATATCCATATTCTCAGTATGTTTCAACTAGTTTTAGAAACACAACATAGTTCTAGTTAGTTATAGTTTTTCCCCATTAATTGTTTTTATTTGTTTTCTTAATGTTTTTGTTAGTTTTAATTAACTATAATCTTAATCTCTCAATAAAAGGTCAAATAAAAAAAATTACAAATTTACAGGAAAACAACAAATCAAATAAAAACCATGACATGGTGCAACAAACTACTGTACATCTAAAGCAAGTTTGATTCACTTTACTGAAAATGTATGTTCAAAGCCTTAAAGGTTACTTTAAGTTGTTTGTTCAGCTGGATTACCTGTTGGATTCAGATGCACTTTATGCTTAAGTGGCTTCAAAAGCCTCCACAGAAAGCAGCTATATGTGAAGACCAACAATAATATATATATTAAAAAAAATAGCAGCTGACTTCTAGAGACTTTCAGAAAGCAGAGAAGAACACTTTAAAACTGAGGGAAAGTCTGGCTCCTTTGAAGTGAGATCTAAAGAAATAAATGTGACTCAGACTTTTAGGCATAACTGAAATGATACGTGGGGCGTGATGATCACTTAAAGCGGTAAAAAGAGTGTAAAATTGCTCACCTCATCCAATTTGGTCTGCAGGCAGGGAAATGAGAAGGTGAAACCCAGAGGAAGCTTTTTATCCTTTATCCCCATCTTCTCCAGAAAATTAGCCAGACAGTCGGCGATGTGGTCAAATAACTATGAGAGAGAAAAGGTTGTTCTCATTAGGCAAGAGCAGAACACTCTGAACAGGGCTGCAGCTATCAAAGTCACCGCTCCAGCCTTTGTATTAGACTGTAAGGATGCCTGGGACCGTTTCATTTGCACAGGCGGATGCCTTAATGATGCAAACGTTAGCAGAATGACACCAAGGAGAAGTATTAAGATCCCAGATGTACAGGTACCAGGTGACTCCTCGTCAACAGAACAAGGAGCACAAAGACAGCCTGACATCGTCTCAGCAGCTTTAGTCATTCAGGACCACTCGCACAAACACAGCAATCCTGAAGTCCTAAAAGAAGGTAAGCAAATAAATGAACACAGAAGTGGTTAAAACCGCTCACGACTGGTTTCAGACATCTAAACTATAGAAATGACGGTTTAAATTTGTCTGTAAATGTGTTGTTCTACATACTTTTAGCTTCACTCGGTTTACATTTCCCAAAAATAAAATCTTCAATTAAGCAGTTTTTTTTCAATCTGATTATTAATGATGTAAGAATTACTATTATTATTGGCTAAGGACTGATTCCTGGATACCATCGATGATAATAATAATAAAAGAATGTTATTTTGCTGCATTTCAGGCAATAAAATGTTTATTTTGTTATTTAGTATTGCAGACAAATTATGTGTTTATTTTAATCTTTTAAAGTCTAAAATTGTGCAAAAAGGCTTAAAGGGTTAAATGAAAACTCTACAGAATGTGGCAGTTATTTATCCGATTCACTGATTTATTGATTCATCGTCAGAATAACCAAAAACTAAATGAATCATTAGTTACCGTTCTAATGTTTAGAATGAAGCCAATACAAAAAGTCATTTTAAACTCAGGAGAAAGATGATTCAATTTATGAAGGGAATAATTTGGATAAGTACTTTCATCCCATCCTTTTTTCTTTTGAGGGAAATCACTTCCATTAGCGCCAGCTGGCATCTGTGCTAACTAAGCGCTGCTCTGGTTTGACAAATCCAGCAGTCTGTGATCCCTCAGCAGGTGCCGTTATTAAATGTGTGATTCGCAGTGTTTCGGTGGTAAAACAAAAGCCTGTTGAAACCAATCTGTTCGTGTGAACTCCAAGTCTTTCCAAAGTCTGAGGGGGCTGTCAGATTAATGTAGTGTCCCCAGCTGTAGGGCTTCTCCACGCTGCCTGAGCAGCTGACCTGGAGGCTGACTGAAAATAAAGTTTTAGAGACATTTTCCCATGATGGAAGAGCTATACTGCAAACTACTTAAAAGTAAAAGAACAAGAAAACATTTAAAAAAATTAAGAGTTTAGAATATTGGAAATAAATACTGGATTCAAATGCTGAATAATAAAGGATCCTCGCCACTTTTTGCCTGCTTGTTTTCAGACAGCAAGACGAGCAATAACAGATCTGAGACAACATCGCCGACTACAGATTGATGTATAAACTCAGCTCTTGCTGCATTAACATACTCCCACACACAGTGCTGCCCCTCTCTTCTCAGAACAACCCGTACGTTTTCCATCCGATCAAGGTCTGTGGACTGAGACGACCATAAAAATAAACAAGCATTGATTTCATGTCTGCCAATGACTGAAATAAACATTTTCTTATGAAATCAATGACATCTGGTGTACATCGATCCCTGCGTCACCGCAGGTCATCCACCGTTAGTCTTTAGGTCTGAACATTTGATATTTGTCTTCATATTTAACAAGCGGTCAGTTAGTCTTTATATTTAATTCGCCATCCAAAAAACACTTCTTGATTTAAAGTATTTTGAAAATTGATCAGCGGGTTTACAACAGATGTAAACCTGCTGGTTGTATTCCTGATTGAACCAAAGTGGGGTTTTTAACACAAAATAACCAAAATAACACCAGTTTATCCCCGTCTTCATATTATCCACCTTGTGCACTAAACATGTCTTTGAGAGTTTTCTCCTCCTCATTATGAGGTCACTAATGTCACTTTGGTAGCATAACTAATTTCATCACGCTGCAGTACGCCGACAACATGCTAGCTAAGGTGAAAACAGCTAGTTGCTACTACTAGCAGCCGTAGCAACTAGTGAGCTTAAAGGCCGGTCCATCTTTCTGCAGACAAGTTGCGCGTGTACGCACCGTGTTTGCAGAACATGATAGAAATAAAATGTAGAATCAGAATCAAAATATTCCAGGTATGTTACAGAAATAATAGCAGTAATGTAGTTGAGGGGGCAATGGTTTTGATTTGCTTGAAAACCCCTGGACTTTAGAGGAGCATTCACTAACAAATTTCCCACCTTACAAGAAAAACAGGGTTTTCCACCTGAAGGCTCACCCTCAGCTTTCATAAAGTACTCAGTTTCAGAGAAAGTCACCTTGCAGTTGTACTTTAAAAAAAAAAAGAGGTTTTGTGAAATTCCTCTCAAACCTCTGGTTGGCATGTAAATATTGTCTACCTGTGTTGTCATGGAGACCTAGAGTCCCTGATATGCCGCTCTTTGCTGCAATCCTCCAACAGTGAGATTTGGAGACGTTTTTTTTACCTGCTACACCATCCTCCTCACCGTGCGCTGTGACTTTACAAAGTCAGTTCAAGGCGCCTGGAAGTTTTTATTGCGTCTCTTATTGTAGATATGGACAAGTTTAGGCTAGTGGCCATTTGATTTCCTTATGTCCTGCCTATCACAGAGCAACACATACCCGTCTCCTTGAATGGCACGTTGTCTAAAGTGTCTAAGTATACGGTTTTTGCAACACATTATGTTTATATTTAAAATGGAGACATGAAATCCTAATAAAAAGTTCCTCAGATCTCTGATTAACTTAAACAGCAGAGTACAGAAGTCGTATTTCATCTCTAAGACAAACATTTGAGAAAATCTTCTCGATATACTTTCTTGTAAAATCCATAGCAACAGTGTTGTTCGCGGTATATAATGGGCATTGTGTACATGTTACAAAGACACCCAGTGGTAAACGCAAACGCCATTTCTATTCTTTTATTGATATTGCTGTGCACTGAATACACTCTCTAAATGTAGGACTTCACAGTAAGAAGGAAAATTAAAACTTTCATCTAAACTATTTATATTCCTCGTGGACCAAGTCCGTGCTGAAAATCCATAAAGTTTCAATTAGTGTCAAACTGAACGGCAGATGTTTACTCAACTACTATTGGTTTATACAGTGAAGACAACCCGCAGACTATAACTGGAACATTCACTATAATAAAGTTATCGCTGTGTGAAAGTTTGAGAAGAAAATTAAATTTACTTTCATCCAAGTAACTTTGGCTCTACATAACCTAACATGATGACAGCAGCAGCAGCAGCAGCTTCATTTCCCCCTGCGACTAAAACGAGGCAAAGAAACAGTCAGCATGAGTTCAACGAAACGTACCGACTTACGTTTCAATTAGCGGCAGCGCTTTTCAGGACGGCATGTACGATTTTAACTGCCTGTCTGCTTCAATTGGCTTTGCAATAAATGTTTTCTAAGCTAACAGAATAAGTAGAGTCTATAAGAACAGCAAAAGGGAAACATTTAATGTTGGAAAGTCTCCCGTTTTCCTAATTAAGCTGTCACTTAAATCAGGTGCTCTTCTGTACAACACTACCTTTGTGGAACGCCATAATCTCATTTAGAGTTGAAATAAATACGACTGGATGTATAACATGTCAGACATAAACATTATGTAGCCTTTTATTTCTCATGAGTCAAACCTTCTTGTGTCTTCTAAAAAGAATCTAGAAACTGTTCATAACAAGCAGACAAATTAAGAGTGGGTTTTTAATTTAATTAATATATCAACTAATTTGTTTAGCAATTACATATCATCCTGCATATTGTGTCTTTATTTTAGCCATTCTGTCTTCCTTTTATTATTATTATTATTATTATTATTATTTATCTTGGAAGAAGGAAAACAAGATGAAAAGAAATTCTCCTTGTTGAAACGACCTGGTAAAAAAAAAAATATTTAAAAATGTATATGAAAGTTACTGAAAATATCACTCCAAAGCTCGTGGAAATGAGCAACAACAGATTTTAAACCATCCAGCTTAAATATTACAATTAATTTACTGGCGTTTGAAAGCGTTGGATTCTTTTGCCGCTCTAACGCTCGTTCTTTCACAGAAACAGAAAAAACCTCGTTATGTACGTACACCTTCCTGCACAGTCTGTGCCTGGAAATATTCTGACACCAACAGCGCAACAATGTAACTCTGTCAACTCTTCAGCTGCCACGGAAATCTGCAAGCTGCTTGGGATTTGTTAACGAGCGACGGCGGAAATAAAGTGGTCCCTTTCTGCTCGTTTGCCAACAATACTAATACATCCCAAGAGTGTTTCTGAGGCACAGTCACCCCCCTCACTTTTAACCTCGGCTTGAAAAGGAGGTGGGAGCTTACGACATGACCGCTTCTGGCGGTGAAACACACTAATGTTTGTGTACACGGCGCATTAATGGAAACAAAAACAGATTTCCTTCGCCGCTTGTAGGTCGAGGTTATGAAAGAGACTGTGGGCGGCCGGGTTAACTGAGAGAAACAAACTGCTGCAGGCGGCCTGAAGAAGACGCTGCTCCTGAGAATCCCTCCAGCCGCCAACAGGTCGGCTCAAACATCATTATTTCGCTGTGCATTTGAGGGCTAAAGCCCCCTAAACATATTAGGGATTATGGTAACACCGTTCTTCTTCAATTAGCCACCCTCAGCTGCTCTTAAAGAACATCTTAAGATAGCAAGCTGGCCGTCCATGCATCTATTGGGATTTTACAGAGAGGACTCACAAATTAGCGGTGAGATGGAATCAAAAGGAGAGATGGTTTTTCCAATTTATACAAATAAAAAAGGTCAAGTGCATTTGTATTCAGACCTAAGGTCAAAACAAATCAGATCGAATCGAGAAGAGACAATAAACGATGTAAGAGACATGTGTAATATTTATGGGTTAATAAAAAAAAAGGTTTCTTTATGTAAACAACAGTTTTAAAGATCACAAACTGTATTATTGTATTGTGTGCTTTTCAGGCACACAGTGACATTTTACAGCATAATCAAGGAACTATGTTATCTTCAGTTGTAATAATGATATCAAGTATGACTTAAAAGAAATTTTACTCCCTGATTTAATGCAGTGGTATTGGGCCTGTGTCTCTTTAAGGAGCTCTTTATGAAACTCCCTCTTCAGGAAGTCATCACAACATGGCTCCTCTATTAACCCTTTAACAACCTTTTTTCCAGCGGAGAAGCAGGACAATACCCCGAAATGTCTGACGTCGACTTGGACGGCAACAAAAAAGGGACACTTTTATTATTTCTCTGCTTCCTTCACAGACAGATCTAAATGAAACCCTCATTAACAACGCCAATGGCAACACCGACTAAAAGGCGTCTCTTCAAGAGCCTGTTGAAATCATTACATTTACAAAACTCATTCAGGGATTGCAACGTTACAGTGGTATAATCGTTACTCCGAGTTGCTGCTACACCGAGGAATGGTTCAACACGAAGCTGTCAACATCTTATGTATATATATTTTTTTACATTTCAGCTGGGTTTTTTTCCTCCCGCTGGGTCTGTCAGTGAGAGGGTTTACTTTGATAGGCTACTCAGCGTAGCAAATTACGGCCAAAAAAAAAAAGAAAGACAACAGAGAGAAACAGTAAATCAACATGTCACGAATGTATTTAGAGAAGAAAATGAACACCATCTGATAATTTCTGTATGGAATTGTTTTGTTTTTCTGAGTCTACATGACATCGACATGTCGTCTTTTGTTTGGGGAAGTTTGGTGCATGGCAGCCAATAGACATGGCGGTGACCACCTGTCACAACAACAGCTAATTATCATCACAGAGGCCAACATGCAACCCCAGCATGAGGAGCCGAGCAGAGCTCAGCAGACATGACAGGCAAAATAACCAAAACAGGTCAGGAATGAGCTGGTCAGTGACAAAAAAATAAATAAATCTGGTTTTCCTGGACAACATGGGGAGGGGGAGAGAAGAGAAGGACTTACATCAGAGCCGCTGCCCCTCATGACGAGGTCAGGAATGTCATATATCTGGCTTTCCATCTCCACCTTCTGGTCGCCGTTGCCCTTCACTTTGACCAGCAGGATTCGGAAGTTGGATCCGCCGAGGTCGAGAGCCAGGAACTCGCCTTGTTCTGTCAACATAAAGAAAATTACATTCAGCACTCAAGATGATATTTCTCATAAAATATTAATTTTTTTTTTCATTAGATACTCTTAGTTTTGTCACCTTCAATTTTAATCATCTATACATTTTTATTTTTTTGCTTTTTTCATTCACCCATCTGATAAAACCATTGCTAAACAATAAGACAAAAATAATTAAATCTTAACACAAATTAATTGGACTTATGGACTTTTTGTCCAGCTATTTAACATGGATTTGTAATAAATATCTCGTATGTCTGCAAGTCAATTTTTTCACAGCAACTTCTCTGCTTGCAAAATATTGATTGTATTTTAGTAAATCTTCAAACTAAAGAAAGGGGACAAAATTGCAAAATAATTTGTGCCACCTCATCACAACAACCTGAGAGCATTTCATTGGAATATTAGAATCAGCTTTACTGGGCAGGATAAAACCAACAAGACCTTTGACATTGGGCTCACAAGCTCACATTGCACAAACACTGAGCATAAATGTATAAAACTTCAGAAGAAATAAAATAAAGTGTTAAAAAAAACAATATGCCCACATTATCCATAAAAATATGTGACTATGTGGAAAAACGTGGATAAAAAAATGTGGAAACCACAGAAAATATTCAATTTTCAAACATCCAGTTTAGTTTGTCATTTCCAAGAATCATTTTGTCAAAACGATTCTTGAAAAGATAAAAGTTGAAAAAAAAAGAAAGAAACATTTTGTTTGTTTTCACTTTCGCAACCAAAAACTTGAAAAGAGAAGGAAGCATGTATCTTTAGTCTTTCACCTTGGTGGAACCACCGTTCTTAAAAGCTGCAGGCATTTCTGAGGGGACTCTTCTGCTTACTAGTTAGAGGACTTCCAAAGGTCACCAGCTGCACTGGATTTAATTTATCAGAGTAAAGAGGCGTGTATACAGGTACTAGTACATGCAACACTCTTCAAACCATGTTTAACTTTCCTTGGACTTCAGAGCTATACTTTACTTTGTGTTGGTGTTTTTCTTAAAATTAAAAAAAAAATCTTAAGTCTGTGGCTGTGATGTGACACAATAAGGAAAAGTTCAAGAATAATGAATGCTTCTGCAAGGCACCATACCTGCTTCGTGACTCCTGGCTTGCAGCAAAGCAATTACATCAACTAATCTTTGCAGTCCTAAACCCAAGGTATGTTTTAATATGCCAACTACACAGTGATGTAGAGAGCGAGCATTTGAAATGCAGCGTTAGGCTGCTAGAAAGTCTCTACGGTTTGTATTTGTGGTCGGAACAATAAGGACGCAGCATACTTCAGTCTCTTTTTCTTAAGAACACCTAAATGTATGCCAGCTGCGTTCTGATCCAAAAGCAATGATTCAGGCTGAAACTAGCAAATAAAGATAAAGTCAAGCAGGTCGAATGTCAAAATGAAAAAGAAAAAAAAAAGAAAAAAAAAAGGTGAACGAAGGGAAGAATGAAGTCACTTGATGTCTTTAAAACCCTTAATCTGAAAGAAATAAGAACCAACTTCCATGTCTTTGTTAGGTCTCTAAACGTATTTTAAATTTGGCACTGCTGCTTTTTAAAATGCAAACCACAAATTTAAATAATCTCAAGTCAGTTAGAAACTCAATCATCTGACCTGTCATGGCAAATTTTATTATTATTTTTTGATTCCTTGTCATGGTAAAAGAAAAAAAAAAAGAAAAGAAACTTTTCCCCTAATTTAAAGAGTCTCGGACTGACAGGTTTTCAGCTCCTTTATTCTCAGCAGAATGAACCTAAATGAATGAATATCATTCAGGACTTCCTAAGTAACATCCTGGACCATTTTCACTTCACTTCACTTTTGTACAATGGTTGAGTCGATTAATGAAATCTCATCAAACCTCCAGTCACATCTCTGCTGCAACACAATAAAATCAAAATGTCAGAAAATGTCAATAGCCCTAAACTATGTAGAAAATATGCAACAGTTGCTGTTATTAAAAGAAGATTGGCTTCGGTTAAATCAATATATCACCCAGCTCTACTGTCTATAAAAAAAAAGAACACTCACCACTGCTGTCCAACATATTATTCCTTAATTACATCAAATGCAGCAGATAATCAGCAACAACTGGTCTCTCAAGGTGAAAATGTTCCCAAAACTTTCAGGCAAACTCCATAACACACAAAGCAATCAGAGAGGGTTGAGAGGCTGAGCACAGCAGGAACCCGTTGGCTCCAATCAGCAGAATCACACAATGGAAGCAACGCTGCCGCTAGTCTAGAGGAGCACAGAAGCAGCAGGCGAGGGGCTTCACATCTACAACTCATAAAAACTTCATACTGAACTTCAGGGGAAAAGAACTGCGGCTGCGGATGGTGAGTTTATTGGGATTTGTGGAGTTACTTTTCTGACAGTATTTTTACTTGCACCATGTTTAGTTTTAACATGACCTTCTCCTACAGAGGTGCAGAGGTCACAAAAATGTTGTGACCTCTGCATAGCTGGTGGCATTTCTTCTGACCTCCATCAACAAGAAACTTTATATAAAAGGCCAGATTTGTGCCATGGCCCTGATGTTCTCTTTGGACGGACCAAATAAAGCTTGGGATGTTTCCTAAGCTGACCTTTGTTTAACCTTTTCACTACCTTGTAAAGACCCATGAAAATGTAAATGACCAGTCAGAAATGAAGTGGTTTGTTGGCCGATGCTACGCATCAAACCTTCAAGGTTTTCACAGAACAGCCACATTTCATCCCCGTTTTTGCCATTTACAAACACATAATTGCTCCATTTACCAGCTGGGTGACTGTTGAAGACAATTAGATTCATTGGATTTTGTTGGAGTCACGTCACACCAAACATTTCAGGAATTTCTTTTTAGTACATGTTGATTAATGTGTAAGGAAATGCGTTCTTAATCCTTCTTGTCATAATTATGCAATACTAAGCCTGCCGCCGTAAGAAATAATTCAGTTAACTGCATTATGAATTAGAATTAGCTTGATTATTTTCATTCTGATGATTAATTTTAAAGGGAAATTTTGTTTACAGACATGTGAAAAACCATTTAATTTATGGTTTCGCTCCTGGGTGTTGTGTTTTATATTTGGATATTTACAATGTCTTGCAGTTTCTGGGTTAGCTGTTCTTTACAAAATTAGAATTTATTGTTCTTTGAAAGAGCAAATTTGCATTATTATGCCATTATCAATGTACTACCTCAAAACAACAACACTGTCATCAATTGCAATAATTACTGGGACGATTTGTTGTCCAGGACAATTTGTTACCGTTTTTGGTTGTAATGTGAAAGATGTGACAAAGTTTAATGGTTATGAATAAGCACTTTATAGGCTGGCTCCTGGTAACACAGATCCAAGGCTCATAATCATTTGAAGATGCCTGTTATGGTTCACCTCTCAAGTTTAAATCCCTTTAATCAAACAATTTAGAGATAAGTGGTGGTGTGAAAACCATCTTCTCAAAAAAAAAAAAAAAAAAAAACACTCAACTACAATGAACAAACTAAACAAAGGAAGAGAAAAAAAGCTAGCCATAAAATAGAAAAAATTAAAAGGGCCTTGAAATTGTTCACACTTTGTATACTTTGAGCTCCATAATAAATCAATGAAAGGAACATTTGATTGCTCAAACTGTCACATCTCTTCTTCAGACTAAAGATCTTAAAAATGTATTTTTTTTGGCAAAAGAGAAAAAAGAAAATCTTTCAACAGCCTTCTTTTATTCTGGGCATTTTGAATAGATTTGGTGTTATTGTGGGCTGTCAGCTCTCTCCAAAAGAACTGCTTAGAGTTAGATAAGGACTCAGCTTGTGTTTAGAGGAGCAATTATCAAAAACAGATTTGAAGGGGGGGGGGAAGAAAAAGAAAGAATTACCTGTTCCATCAGGAGTAGAACGCACATACGTTGGCAGCATCTTGACGGCAGCAGTGGGATTTGTGTCCCTGCATAAGCCTTTGTCCATCTCTCGCCGAAATCTCTTAGACACCTCCATCAAAGTCTTGTCTGATAGATGGAACTGGTGCAGGTATTTGTCCACCTAAAAAGAGGAAAAACAAGGATAGTCAATGCACCGCTATGAAAAAAGTAGCAAAATACATTTTTATCTGTAGCTGAAGAGTTAGATCGCCGGGGAACTGTGGTGCCCGAGGAATGCAGCCCACCTGTGCACAAAGCTGAACTCTGGCTTTGTGCTTCGAAGACTGAAGTGGGGAGGACCAGCCAGGATCTTTTTCCAAGACTGCCTTTAAAATGAGTTTAATGCTTCAGTTTGAACACGTGTGGCCAAATGGGAGCCACAAAGTCGGAATAACTGAGCAGGCTGGACGACTGGGATTGGTATGTCCTGCCAATTGTAGTCACTTTGGTTATTAGGAGAAAGTAAGTAAGCGTTGAGCAGAGACATTTATTTTTTGTGGCATCTCCTATAAACTCTGTTCTTTAGGACTTGCAGGAATATAAGTCTTCCTGTTTTACATCTGTTCAGAGGACAGATTAAGGCCAAGTTTCGTCCTCTTTAATCAAATTCCAGTTCGTTTGGGGATTTGGAAATTCCCAATCCAATTCTTATAAGGATCACAAATGCGAACGCTAGTCTGTCTGAAAACCTCAGTCTCGGTTCGGCTGTAGTGAACTGAGACCGAGGTTCACTATGTCAATACCAGATAATCGAAGACCACTTCAAAAGCCAAAAGTGAACTATAGCACAGGGTATTCTGGGTAAATGCAACCAAAACAAATGTGAGAGTCCAGCGCTAGAGGAAGAAATGGCTTGTGATCTTTTGCCTAAGACAAAAGAGAAATCCTACAGTCACTAAAATCTGACACTATTCCATTTTTGTTTATATTTTGTAAAGAAGGAAGTTGCGCTCTTGTCTTCTTCGGATGTTTATATGATGTTTCCTTCAGTGGTTCTTGGTGCAGCGCCACCACAGACGAGGAGGGTTAACATGTTTTTCAAATGGAAAATGTAAAAAATGTTGCAATCTTGGTTCTCAATCAAACAGAGTCTACTGGACTATCAGGTGTGAACACATCCTTAGACCTGCAAGTAAGCTTGGTGTACGTCAAGGGTGTCCAAAGTTGGTCCTCGAGGGCCGGCATCCTGCACGTTTTAGATCTCTCCCTAGTGATAGTAACAACCTCTTCAGCAAGTCAGTGTTCTCTATAGGCCTTCTAACGAGCCATCATTTGATGCAGGTGTGCTAAACCAGGGAGAGAATTAAAACATGCAGGATGCCGGTCCTCGAGGACCTACTTTGGACACCCCTGGTGTACGTGAATCTGTATGATCCATCTCTAAACCTGAAATCAACAATAGAAACGAACGGGTGCTACTTCGGGATTTTCTTATTGCAACAAGCAGAGTTCCAGTCAACTAAATGGGAAACCAAAAAATATGTAACTATTTGCGGCAAGCACAAGACGCACTAGAGAATCATGTTTGCTGTTGTAATAATATGATGCTACATTAGGTTTTTGGGTTTAACTTCACCTGCCCACAGAGTCCAAATGGTAGTCAAAATGCACTGAACCTTTGTCAAAATTAATCAAAAATGAAAAAAAAAAAAAAAAAAAACCTTCATATTATTTGTTACCGTTTACCTAAATTTGTGTTCTGGTGAAATAAAATGCTGTGAGAAGAACCTTTAAAATTTGGCAAGTAAGAGGTACAGAGAGAATTACAGCTTCTCGAGCCAAACGGCCACACAAGCCAAGGCAGGTTGGTTACAGGCACAAATATTATAAAACCATCAACCCCAAAACGCTTCCCCAATTTTTTCCCGCTGCAGTTTTGCTTGCATCGATGACTGACGTATTCTGCTGACGCAGGCATTGATGGAGATGGCAGCTGTATTTGTTTTTCCTCCATAGCACTAATTGCAACTGCTTATGCTGCAAAATGTCAACACAGCCACAGTTTACCCTGCCTCATAACCTAAAGGGCACAAACTATTCTGCACAATTACCTTTTTTTTAGGGGGATAAAAAAAACCCTTCTCTTTCTTTTAAAAGGTGGAAGTGTGGCAAAACAATTTACTTTTCTCTTCAGAGAATAAGATCCTCACATTAATGCAGGGAAACTGTGTAACTTTTCTAGAAGTTTCCTTCAGGTTTGCAACATAATTACAATAAATGAGAGCTGCATTAAGGAAGTTACAACGATGGCTTTCATTCTGTCAGTTTATTTCTCAAAATCATTTCTAAAAGCATCAAAAAAAGAATTCAAAAATCTAAACTAAAGAAGTAATTGTATGTAATTAGACTTGTGAAAACTAAGAAGACTCAATATTCTGAAAAGAAAATATACTTTCCTTCTGGTCAGGTGTAATCTACTAATGTGTTCCCTCCAAAACACTTTAAAAACAATAAGATTCTCCTACCTGGGAATAGTTTAGCTGATCAAACCTAATTAACTACAAAACTGGACTGATATCTTAAAGAGGTTTACTTCATTCTGTGCAAAACGCCTGAGCAGACCTGGCACCGCCTTCGATACGAAGCTCCTCGTCAGACCTTCACTTTCCAAGCCTCTCAGCCTCTTTCTCACAGAGCAGCCCTCCTCCACCACTCGGCTCCTTCAAACCAGCGGCAGCAGTAGTGAGCAAACACCTGGTAGAGCCGGCATCAGCGGAACTCATTATGTGAAATTTTTCAGTGCAACGCTGGTAAAAACGTTTTTAAAGGGTTAATAGAGGAGCCATGTTGTGATGACTTCCTGAAGGCGGAGCTTCAGAAAGAGCAGGACTTTTTAAAGAGACAGAGGCCCAATTTCAAGCATTAAATATCAAAGTCAAATTTCCTTCAAGACATATTTGATACATATAGTATTTTTATAACAACTTGTTACTTGATTGAGCTACAAGAGAATGGCATTATGTGCCTGGAAATTACATATTACTGTCCCCCTTTAAAAAGATCATGCCAATATATTCTGCATCACAAAATGGTGATGAAAATCATAACCTTCATTCTCACACGTATTAGCAGATGATAAGTCATGTCCACCTGCATCACCTGTAGTAAATAGCCTCCAACCCTTCTTAATTCAAAATAATGTGGTCCTGCATCCTTCATTTATCATGCTTGGTAAAAGCAAACATCACAGATTAGCAAGCAGTTTAGCTGTATGATCTAGTTTTTATTGGGTAGATGGTCATATCAGTAGTGATGTAATGTTAATAAGTAGATGAGTGGCATCAGCAGAGAAGCCTGTTAGGTTAATGGAGCTAAAGAGGAAGTTATTATGCAAGACAAGGCAGAGCCAGAGGGGGAAATTTCTATGGTGACACAGAAAACATAACGTTTTTGTTCTTTAGGCACTTTTTTCCTTTTTCTGATAATTTCAGGGCACTAGTATTTTTAGCGCCGTCACTGGCTCGCAAAGCTAATTTTTAAAGCAAAAACACAACAAAGCTGCACCAGAGAGTGTAACACGGACACTCAGGTGGGTTAATATCGCTTCCATGAAACATTTTCAACAAAAACTTTCACTCAGTTCTACTGAATGAAACACAAAAAAATATATATATTTGAGCACTGTCTGTGTCGGCACATCCATGCAACAGGTTTTGCCTCACAGCGAGATTTCTGGTTAAATCCTAGAATTTACCGAATTCAATCATGAAAAGTTCCCATTGCGAACGGAGAACACAAAAATGAGCACCTGTGTACCCTGTAATTCCTGTGCTTACCCAAACAGGCGGTCATCTGGTGGTAATGGAACAAATAAAAATCACATAAACACTGAAACATGATGATGATGCTTAAAATAAGAATAAAAAAAAAGAAACTGCATTCTGACGGAAATCCTTTCTTAGTCATACCGACAAGGAACTTTTAATGGCAGCCGGGTTTCTGTTGTCACGTTACAGGGAATCCTTTCTGCTGCAGTTAAAACATGTTTGGTTTTTTCTACTTCTATATCTGAGGTTATTATTCAGTTTTTCAACAACTTAATAGGAATGAGAAAAAGAAATGGCCAATGATTGCCTGTTGACAGACTTTGCAGTTCAGAAAATCCTCATAAAAATCTAAAAAGTAAAATAGTGGGAAAAATCCTAAGTTGGAAAAGCCTGGATGGTTTGTGTGAGGAGGGCTGAAGAAATCTGAAGTGTTGAAACAAACGCTGTACGTTACAGCTCATAAATATGACAAAATGAGACAAGACAGCAGAAGTCAGTTATTTTTTTAAATAGCTTCTTTAAGACTTTTTTTTTAAATTGCTTTAAGTGTTTGACAACAAACAAGCATTGAATGAGAACGAGCTGAGCCAGCAGCGAGGCTTCTGCTTGAGCCGCAACTTATAAACTAACTGTTTTTGTATATGTGAAGATAAGAGCTATTATATTAAGGAATCTGGTGTCTGAATAATCAAAACAGACTAAAAACAATAGATATCTTTGTTACTGAGCTCATTTGTCTCATTTATCAGGTGTGCTCATATTGTCAATACATAGATTGATTACAAGCAATTGGTTCAATTTAAACTTTTACGGCAAATAAAAATGCTATTTTTTTGTAAAGATGTATATACAGTGTTTTTCCAAAAGAGGCAGACAATGTTTAATTTGAGTAAATATGAAATTAGAGCCTCTGCTGGACCTTAATCCTAACAGTGTCTGTGTGTGTGAGGACCGTCTAGCTTTGAAAAGCAGGTGATTCCCAGGAACAGGAAGTGACCCGCAGTAAACATGGTGCTGCTGAGGACGGCGAGGCATGTCAGCGTGGCATGTAGTAAAGCATCAAACAGCAGAAGCAGCACATGCTGCGTTTAATCTGTGTGTTTAATCCAACGTAAAACAGCAAAAGGGAGCCGAAAGTATCCACGAAAAAAAAAAAAAAAATAAAAATATCAAAGCGTGAAAATTAATCATAATGATGGACAACCAAGATCTGAAGGCTGTGATACCTCCTGTGAAATGCAGCAGATTGCACGAGTGTTGCCAATTACAAGGTCTGCACAGAAAATGCTCTGACCATGTTTTTCAGGTTTTCTGAGTCAATGGGTGACAACATGGTAGTGATACCCCACATTCT